TTTTTTTTTTGTATATAAGCTCCTCTACTTACTTATTGGGCTATTAGCAATTCTAATTTGCCAAGAGTATAAAATATATTATTTACTTACCAAAGTTGTCTTCTGCAACTAATCCCTCACTAAGTTGCCTCTTGTGTCCTCCTGTACTGTGGTGCCCTCTTCTGGGGGTTGTTGTGCTGGTGGTGGCAGGTTTCTGTGCAACTAGAGGGGTGGAAGTGGCCCTTGGTTGCTGAATAGCTGAATATTTGGAAATTATTTCTTTATAATAAGTTTTTCACTTTCATCTTGAATAACTTACTATAAATTTCATTCAGAGTTTAATGTGTAGTCACTAATGTGTCTGAAATGGTGTTAATGTGCAAGTACAGATAACAAATGATCTTACATGGTCTTAATCAATGAGTTGAATTATTACTGGACCAACTTCCAGTTAAGGTGTTCAGCAATTATCTCCCCTCACAACTCCCATTGTCAGGGGAGGTAACTGCTTGAGCAATAATAGCCTATTTCATCCAGGTTTAGATCATTTTCTGATTTTTCATCCTCACACATGTAAAAAAATCTCACCCAAATTAACCTGGGGTGACTCAGCAGGCTTTGTCTGTTGCTTGTTCCTCAGTCTCTGTTGAAATTCTTTCTGTTTCTGCTGTTGTCTCAGTTTTCGCTGGAGCTTTTCAGCCTCCTCATTTCCACTAGAGATACATCATAACAACAGTTCATATTGCACAACAATATCTAAAACATTTCTTTTAATGGAAAAAGAAAAGTTTGTTAGCGTGTGTTGAAAAAATTAAAAAGGGTTAAAGTACTAGTTCTTGTTTTTTTTTACTTCAAAAATGTGACTAAAAATTCTAAAAATGTTGGGATAAATGTTTCAGTGGTGATCATGACAGAAATTTTGCACAGTATGTCTTACTAAGAAATCTCACCTTGCATCTGCCATGTTTATATTTTTCTCCTGATTTCCAAGATTTCCATTTGGTGACCGTAAATTTTTCTCTCCTGGTTCCTCCTTTAGGTTATTAACAACATTTTCCTTTTCTTCAGTTGGAACATGTGAGGTTGACCTTGTGTGTTTTGCTGCATGTCTTTCCGTTGGCAACTGTTCAGTTGTTGTATGTGAAATAGTATTCCTTCGTACATGTCCAACATTGCTGTTATAGCTCTCAATTTCGGTAACAATGTTAGGCTTAATATCCCAGTTATTCTCTGAGTCTCCTGCAATTCTTGTGCTTGTCAATTTTTCAGTTGTTCTGACACCTTTCGTTTGATCATGTGAGTGTAAAATATCAGCTGTGTGATGTTTCACTCGTAACTGCTCCACCTTCACCATATGGTCTTGTCTTGCTGACTGAATATTCTGATCCACTAATTGGTGTTTCATACTAGCTATATCATTGACCTCCTGAGGCTTAAAATGACATCATAAAATATTGAATAAGGACATTTAATTTTCAAAAGAATAGGCATAATTTGTGTTTTATATAACTAGGCATTTTTCAATACAGGACTTATTCTTATGACACATTTTCTTAATTTTATACCAGCAGGGTTTCTTGGCAGAAAATGTCAATGAATCCATTATCTGGAGTCTTTTGTGTAATAATATGCACATGCTAGTACAAAGGCTACTGTTGTACTTACAGGCTTGGGTGCTCTCCCTATAGTCTTCAGGTACATCTTGTCTCCTAAACAGTTACCCAGTGCATTGCCAAAACTCCTAGGTGAAGAGAGAATACGGAATATATATTTCATTCACATATACCACATGTTTAAAGAAAGGCGTGGAAAAGTGAATTGCCATTGTCTGACTTGTTCTGAATTTTATCACTTGCCTGCTGATATTTTGTTGTGGTAATATAATTGTGGGGGTCATATTGAAAACATGCTAACTTTATTATGTAATGTATGCTTGACAAAATAAAATGGATCTCACTATGAACATATAAAAAACCCACAAAAAACAGTTTTGGATTTTAATTTTCATCCCCTTTTAATAACAATAATTGTCTTCATCTTACTTCAGTGCTCTCTTGAGTCCATCAGTGACTGCTTCCTTTCTAGCTTTTTCTATCGACAAAGCTTTGGATCTCATTCCCTCAGAGACACCATAGCCAATGTCTTCATGATACACGCCATCCTGAAATATGTCGTGGGCACAGGTTTGTAATGTCCGCCATCATGGTAAAAATTCCCATTTCACAAGCACAAGTGCTGAGATTGGTGTTATACATACCTTGCTTTAACCTGTCAGTATGCTTTATACTAAATTAGGTTTTACTACAACTACAACTATACCAAGAAATACTATGAACAAACTGAATCAGATGTTACATTTTTAAGAAATTGGCTGTCATAAACAACAGAGAAATGCATGACTCATTCTTTCAAGATTACAGATTCAACATCAGTTACCAGGAGAATGTGCAAAGATCTTCCAGAGGCATTGTTTTCTCACCTTTAACTGCACCTTAACAAAGGCACTGACACCAACATAGTATCTGCCATCATGGTGGTCCACAAAATCTGAAAAATAATTAAAATAGAAATGTAATTTTGAAAACGCTCATGGGGTTTCCCTTCACAAATCTGTGGCTCCAGATCAGATTTTTGAGAGATCTTGTTTTTCTTCACTGTGATTACACATATATATAAATGTATGTTTCAATGGGTAATGTCTAGAGTTTTATCACTGGAGTTAACTGAATTTAAACAGACTTTAAAAAACTTAACAAAATTATATATATATATATATATATATATATATATATATATATATATATATATATATATATATATATATATCAAGCACACTTAGTTTTTAACCAAATCCTAGCCAGTTGTAAAAATAAAAACTGAAATAAAGGATTAAATACTAAGTTACATTTATTATCTTATAATCAGATATCCAATCTTATTAAATAATTAAGTTTTGACATTAATACATCTATAACATATCTACTCACAGAGGACCATGTGGAAGATTAGTTTTACCTAATATGTTTTACCTTCGTATATTAATTAATTAACTTATTATTATAATTTCAAAAAAAAAAAAAAAAAAACTTACCTATATTCTGGTGAGTGACAGAGTGAGACCAACCATTAAAACCAAAAGTTTCATTTGCAAGGTTTATCAACCGCCATCCTTCTACATAAGCAAGCTGAAAATTTAATACAGTGTAGCATATAACACTGGTCTGTTGAAAATAATTGAAGTTTTGAAAAAAGAAATACAAGTACTTGATAAATTTAATAAATCTTGCTTTTTTCTTCTTTTCTTTTCTTTTTTTTTTCTTCAGAGGACAATATCTTGCTGACAGACAATGGCTGTCTGCATGGGTTAAAATGTTTGGGATAAATTGTATTTTTGACTAATATACAGGTAAACAACAACAACAGCAACAAAAACAGCAATAAATTAAATAAATAATAATTGTAATAACAGTCTCAGTACAGAATCAATCAATCAATCAATCAATAAATAACCTTCTGTCCTCCTGCACCTGATCTCTGGCTTACAAACTCTGGCCCTAGCTTCTGTCGTAAAGCTGCCTGCACAGCCTCATGCTCCTGTGCTGAAAATTCCGCCTAAAATAACATGCATTAAATTATTAAAAGTGGGAGGGGAGGGGGAGGAAGAGGACAGATTTTAGCAAACCTATTGAACTTCAATTAAATGTTAAATACAAATCTATATCAGTCACTCAGATGCGCTCTTGAACGTTTGTGATAAATTTACACACACACATTTAGAGAGAGATAGAGAGAGAGAGAGAGAGAGATCGAACATACAAACAAATTACCATCCAAAATTTTCATCAAAATTACCTGTCCAAAACACGCAAGATGAGGAGTGGCCATACTATGCAGGTTAAAGACCGATGTCGATAAAATACAAGTTCATTTTCACCGCCATGTCAGTTTGTTGTATTTAGGTCACATGACTCATTAAAAGCTCGGCTCGAAGCAAAATCGTTAGTGATGTTTTGCCTTGTAAGTTTTAATGATCATGGGAAATGAAAACATAAGTTGTATTTACAATAGATTACTTAGTTCTCGTTGCGTATTATACCCCTTATCCTAATTGTTTACTTAAGAAATCGAAGCCGGAAACGGAAATACGGCACCTCATGAATAATTAAGCAGGTGCCTCTTGGTTAAAGAAAAGAGTGACAACTGCGGCACGCGAGGAGCGACCTTCGAGTTCTATTTTAACTTTTTGTTCATTTTAAACGACAAGGATTTCGAAAACATGGGCGGTAATGCGGAGAAAATGTATGGATTTCAGTCGTACAGCTAGCGATTGGTTGAGGTATTTAGAGGAATAACTTTATCGATGTGGTGAAATCATTATCATGTATTGTCAGAAGCAAGCCGCACGTTCGCACTCGAATGATAGCCAAAGTCAAAGCCAAAGTCCAGGGCCGCGTTCTCCACGTTCACCCATGTCCTCCTCGCCTGTGAGGACCAACCCGCATATGATGCTCTCCCCCAGAGGGAACCGGAGAGACGGGGGACTGCAACCCAACTCCAGACAGGGAAGCAGATCTGGAAGCCCCCTGAACTTGCCCATGGAGAATGTACAGTCCATGAATGCAGCCTACAGCGCTGGCAGCCAAACTTACGCCGGTGGGGACGTCGTGGGGGGTCCTGGATTATCTCCAGGGTTGTCACCCTCAGCTCGCAGCCAGTCCTATGGTGAGGGGATAGGAAGTTCTGGGGGATTATCCTCTCCGGGGAGAAATCAGGGGGGATTATCCCCGTCAAATAGAAGTCCTTACCAGAGTCCAGCCCACACTGCTCACTCTCCCAGCAGATCAGGCAGCAGTGGAGGGAGCTTGCCCAGAGGGGGTGGGTTACGTGATCGGTCAATTGACCGCCTGGACAGAGAGCGAGTCCGTGAGAAGGGAGGTTCCATGGTCAGAGACAGATCACTTGACCGCCAGCTTGACCGACACTATGAGATGGAGATGATAATGCAGAGGGGCAATGAACGCTACAGCAATGCAGCTAGGGAGCAGAATGGTGGACGAGGACATAATGCAAATGGAGTGGGTACAGGGGATTATTTACGAGGGGGCTCTAGGTCCCTGGATCGTGATGGGGCATACACAAGCACTCATCTAGGAAGACATACAGAAGAAAATCACCAGCCGTCAAAACCGCATGAAACTAGGCATCTACGAGACACTCTTCTGTTGGATTTACAATCACAGTTGAATGATGCCAACCGCGAGTGTGCAATGATGCAGAAAGAGTTGGAAATAACAAAAGAGAAACTTACGTCAAGTATGAACAGTATCAAGACTTTTTGGAGTCCTGAGTTGAAAAAAGAACGAGCTATCAGAAAGGAGGAGGCTGCTAAATACTCCCATCTCAACGATCAGATACGATGTCTGCAAGATGACAAAGAGGTGGGTATATTTCACGATAACAGCTGAATTTCCAGCTCTGTGCCAGACCAGCCCCATAGCCAGCAGTGTAAAAGGGGGGTTCTTTTTTTTCTTGAAAATGTGGACCTTTTGTCAAGAAACCTTAGTTATCTACATCAAATTTACCCAGAGTGGACCTTTTCCCTGCAAAAAAGGGAGCTCTTTCTATCCCCCCCCCCCCCC